CTAAAATCAGCATATACACTATTTGACGAAAGGAGAGAGCGAAGAAATAAGGAAAGTGTGTGTGGTATTAAAGTTGTAGTAAGGTGGACAAGAAATCGGAGAAGGGAGACGACATAGACAGAATCCCAAATGATCGGTTAGTTATGGTATGAAAGCTGGTCTTCACCACCCCGACTGTTTCTGGGAAACCATGAAGGAAAACACAGTCCTAATGTAATAAGAAAAAGCATAGGTAATTTAGAAACTTCACTCAAAATGCCTTAACAAAATGTCTTGCTAATGCTTCGTTAAATAATAAACGCTTACGTCAATATAGGGGAGTATTTAACCTCGGATTTCATGTGGCCCTGCTTTTTCTCATTTTTTTGTGAGAAAAGTGACTTTTTGAAAGTGAAAAGGCGTGTCTGAAAATTGGTATTACAAAGACCGATAGCAAAATGCTGAAGTTTGCAATGAACTTGGCGCTTTGAATTCCGAACTTTCATTTCACGTGTTTGTAAACAAACCGTGTTTCAGAGGCGGGCGCAATTGTTTTCTTGTTATGTGTATTTGGGCTTATATCCATTGTATATTTACCACAGCAATCATTCACATTCAGGCAACTCCTCACCCCACTTATAACTCATAAGACCCCTTTTAGTTGGACATCGTGGTTCCACCAAAGCATTCATTCAGTTCCGGATTAACTTGAAAGTATTTTACAACCCGCGCATGCTGGATTCCAATGAAAAAATAGTTTAACGGTTAGGGATTCCGTGCTGAAGCAAACCTATCGTTATATGATTTGGGAGATTTTTTGCAGAACCGGTCCACCCGCTACCGCCGCCCTGCGCAAAACGTCTTGCGTAACGAAATCGCGATCGGTTAAACGTAATCAGCGATACAGAATGGGCGCGTACTTAATTAAATAATACGCGATCGCGTGGAGAGCCGAAAGCGCTAGGAATTCGCCGCAACCGCCGCGCCACTTTCAAACTTGAAAACACAAAGAACAAAAAGCGGACTCGCGGCCTTCGAAAATTCATTACCATGGTCATGTTCAATGTCTCTTTCGCCCGCTCGTTCGTATGGTTCTTTGGTTGGCGCAGGGACGGAGCGGGCGCTATTGCGTGGTCCTTCGAGCCGGAGCGTAGATCGCTGGGTTCCTTTACGCCAAAGTGTTATAGTCTTCAATAAACTTTTCCCGGAGCTTATGCCAACAATTTTTTAAAGTGGTACGGTCATTTGTCCTATGCTTGTCTTGATGTTAAGGACGATGTTAGTTGGAATCGTTTATACAGGGTGAGTCAAATGAAAAATATTAATTTTCGTGTAAAAGTCAAATGGAAGAGCCTGTATATTATACTTCTGTTATTAATTATTTTATAAGAAAGGTTTATCTTTATTCATGACCTATAATTCTCCATTTTCCGCAATCACAAAAGACATTCTATATAATTTAAAGCTGCAGTTTTTGTGTGATTTACTTTCTGTTTTCCCCACTGCAAAATGAAAAAATGCAATTTAAAAATCGTCATATTTTTCGGAAGTAAAGATCAAATTATATAATGTCATTTTCGTTTTTGGTGACGTCTTTTTGGGATATTGTGTACTTATGGTTGACTGACTTGAATTTTATTATACTTCATTCCATTCAAATTACATTTTTTATGACGAGCTTTGAACTGTTGTCATTTTTATGAACAACCCCACAACAATGAATATTATTGACTGAATTGAATTGAATGAATTAGTACTGACCTTTCTAAAAAAAGAAATATAATCTGGAAGAAGTCAATTTCTCAATCTCAATACAGCCTAACTTTATTTATTTCATAAACCTGTTTATTTTTTTCCCTTTTGAAATTATATATGTCAATAAAGAACTTGAGCAAAAAAAAACAACGAAACTAGTACAATTGAAAATTAGATCATGTCACGTTTCGAAAATCCGAGGCAACCGGAGAACAGATTATTTTAATTTATGTCCGTTAAAGAATCTGTCGAGAACAGGCTTATCTTTTTGTATGAGAATTAGATCAATTTAGTTATTTTCCGTTAAATATGTAGACTTTGTCTGCTATTTTCTCCTTTCCTGCTTCATGACTAAATTTATGAAACATTAACTCTTCATTAAGCGGATTTACTATTAAACTAAAACACAAAACTATATATCATACCTAATGATATAATCATTTTAATTATTGAAAATTCAGATTGTAGCTATTATTAATTTAATTGTTATAATTATTTAAGTATTAATTAAGGAGCTTGAGTCAAGAATTTATACCAAATATGGTTTTTATTATTTTAAGTGACAGTTCTAGCGTGCGCAAAGGGACATTTTACCACGTTAGTTTCATTTCTCACGGATCCGAGCCACTTCGGCTATTTCCAGGATATTACCGCACGGGTTTGGGAGCAATCGGATGTTTTCGGAGACATTACCGCACGGCTTGAATTTTGACGTTTGTCAATTTTGTGTTGTTTTGCAAAAATGTACCGAAAAAATAACGGTCGTAGGAAAAGTATAGTATACAACACGTTTACCATATTTCTTGCATACTATACTATCGCCAGATCATTAATTTATTTTTGTTTAAATTATCTCTTTGAGGTAAACATCAATTTTTAACCCAAAGTAATGATAACATTAATAAAATAATTAATATGTTTTTTTTTCTGTCTTAGATCAGATAACGAATCCTGAATATATCTTCGAATAGACCCCTTGCATGAAATTTTAAGACAAGACATCATAAATCGCTTTTTAATGACATGCTGAAGTCTACCCGTTAAATATTCCTCTTGGAAAAAATATTTCTACTAAAATTAGGGACTTCGAGTTCACTCGAAGCCCTTTAAATATGACGTCTCACGAAAACGCCTTGTAACGTTTGATATATTGATTATAATTTATTTCATATAAGTTTTAGGTTGTTTTAGGTTGTGTTCGCGTGGTAACTAGGTCGATAAGAATAAGTTATTAATAGTTTGGTTTAAAGCTTTTGGTGTTAAGTCACAATATACTTTTTTATTTGTGTAAGAAATAGGTAAGAGGTGCCAAAAGTCGATAGTGGCAAATTGGCAGTCGAGTGGAACTTCTCTTGCCGAATTGCGTTACGTCACAAATTGCACCAGTCTCGAGCAACTTTTTTTCATCGCAACAGATGCGTTGCATCTAGGAAGAAAATACGCACAAGTTCGACCTTGCTTAAAATTAAAAGGTCCATTGTACTAAGACCTGAGTCCGTCCCTGCTTACAGCGTTATTCTCTCGTTCCACTTCCCTGTTCTACGATCGGCCCACATTTGAATAAATCTGTATCGGCCACGTTATAATTTGTTTGCTAATCAGATCTCTATCTGGATCGTGTCTTGTCCATTGTTACACAATAACACGTTTTTCGGTACACAAAATTATTATAATGTGGCTTGTAGAAGGCAATAATTATGCTCATTATCCGCGTTTCGGACGATTTTTTTACTTTGCTTTTAAAATCCTTTGCGGGGCATTGATCCAAAATATAATAATAAATATAATTTGTCTACTTTTTGCGTGACTATAAGATAACTTTTGATTTATACACACACGGTGTTAAAGAGCGGCCCATCCCTATGTCACTTACTATTTAAACGGGTTTTTCGTTTTCAAAACTGGCTTTGTTTTTAAGATACAGAGATAAACCGAAAAATTGGCCATTTCAGTTATTTGTATGTCAAACACCCGTAATTAAATGACGAAACGCAATCATGGAATCACAATCCAGTGGCGTACTTGTATAGAATATATTTATATTTTTTTAAAAATCGATTGCGCTTTTTATACGCTTTGCAAAGGTGAATTGCCTAAATATATTATTTTCTAATTCTAATTTTATTCCACTTATTATTATTATTATATGCGAGGTCTTCCTTTTTTCTTTCTTTCAGGAGGGACCCAATCCCAGATTTTCTTTGGCCATCTATTCCGTTTCAATCTCTAGAGATGTTCAAAAGAAATGAGCATTCTACTTCCGTTGGTATCCAGAAAGCATTTTTTTAGTTGCATGGATTTCTTCCTGCTCCGTCCTTGAAGTTCTATTACTTCTATCTATTTCTAGAGCCGACAATCGTTCTTCGTTCCGTTTTGTTAACTCCCAGGTTTGGATCGACAAGTGCATATTGACCCAAAGCTGGAGTTCTATTTCATTTGTTTGGCTTTTCGTAATTTTCTTACTATTATTATTATAAAAAAAAAACTACAACATTCAAGAAATACAATTTATATACACATAAATTAGAGTAAGCTATGAAAATGTTGAGTATGTCTTTGATCACATGGCATAAACTACGACAATAATGTAATCTGGAGTACTTTTTAAAAAATATAGTGTACAATTTTAGGGAAGCAAATGAACAAGTTTAGTTATTTATACTTATTTTTTAAAATATTTCCTAACTATTATACGATGTTAAAAAGCTTATAAAAAGCTTAACAGAGTTTTAAAAATATACATGGCGTTTCATCTGAAATACATACCTTTGGCTTATATGTTATATATGTTATACTCTTTTTTGTATTCCATTAAAATATGGCTAAATTTTCTGTTTTCGTATGCATATTTATTGATATTTCCTGTGCATTTTGAAACACTTTTTTGATATTTGGCGCATATATCACACAGCATTTCGGGTAAAATAAAATTCTAAACATTTTTTATTCTATTATATTTTATGAGTTGCAAATTAATTGGATTTTTGACGATTTCATACCGTTTAGTAGAACGTATACCCAAGTTCACCATCCTCCGTCCCGAGATATCTTAAGTAATCAACTTTCCCGCTATAGCAGTGATTACATAACAAGTTAAAAGAGATTTTCCTACTATTTATTAATAAGCAAGTCCTTACTGGTCACTTGGCCGCACACAGGTTTAATAACTTCCTGTAAAGGGTTTCTTTTGCAAATCGTATCTCGCGCCAAAAATATGCAGCATATCGATGTTCCAGAACGTAATAACCACCAGATCGTTTTTCCAGGTGTTCAGTTCGAAAGCGGAACTGCAGCTCCACACGCAGGCGCATATGCGAGAGGCCAAACCGTACAAATGCTCGCAATGTTGCAAAGCGTTCGCCAATAGTTCCTACTTGTCGCAACACACGAGGATCCACCTCGGCATCAAACCCTACCGCTGCGAGATCTGCCAGCGGAAGTTTACCCAGCTCAGTCACCTTCAACAGCACATCCGCACGCATACGGGCGACAAGCCGTACAAGTAAGTGCTGCTCAATTATGGCGAAACGGCGATGGTCGAAACACCCCGTGATTCTTGCAGGTGCCGGCATCCGGGCTGCCAAAAGGCCTTCTCACAATTGAGCAACCTTCAATCGCACTCGCGGTGTCACCAAACCGACAAGCCGTACAAATGCAACTCGTGCTACAAGTGTTTCAGCGACGAGCCGTCGCTGCTCGAGCACATACCCAAACACAAAGAGAGTAAACACCTGAAGACGCACATCTGTCAGTACTGCGGAAAAAGTTACACGCAGGAAACGTACCTTCAAAAGCACATGCAGAAACACGCGGAACGTACGGATAAAAGGCCACCTATTGGACCCACTTTAGGTGAGTAGTGTCTATCCGATCAACGCGTCATTTAAACATAACGGCAACAAAACACCTAAAAGCATCGTGTATCCCTCGTTATATCACAAGATAAAATATATGGGGTGCTGCAAGGGTCTTCAGTCCCTTCTCTGCCTTTATTAGTGACAACTACAATGCAACCTTGGTGTTACAGAATGACATTCGAAATGCAACTTTCTACATCAAGGACTGGTCTCTCTTTTAAGGTTTACATAGACTCTGTTCAGGGTACAGGACAATTACAATGACGCTGAAGTACTTTTTAGCGCAAATATATCTTTCTATAACATTCTCCATATAAAAGCTGCGGTTTCTCTATAAAATTGGCATTTACTTCTCCGTCAGCTGAACAATTTATTAGTTTATAGATTAATAGTTTTATTTCTATAGCCGTTACACAACTAACCAGCACTGCCACTTATTTGCCTGCTTTATTTAGAAAATGCTATTCTATAACATTCTTCATGTGAAACTCTTGATAAAATTAATTTCTACTTCTCGGCCAGGTAAATAGTTTATTAGCTTTTCTACTCACGTCTGTAAAATGTCTAATTACATACCGATCTAGCTTGCGGGAAGCGTCCCTTTACCACGTCAGTTTCGTTTCCCACCAATCCGAGCCACTTCGGACATTTCCGGGATTTTACCGCACGGGTTTGGGAGCAATCGGATGTTTTCGGAGATATTTCCCACGCTTTGAATTTTGACGTTTGTCAATTCTGACAGTCATGTCAATGAATGTATTCGTGTTGTTTTGCTAGAAAGTAGCCAAAAACTAACGCTCGTAGAAAAAGTATAGTATGAAACACATTCGGTAACCTTTTTAACTCACTCGCTTATTAAACATTCGCTCGCTCAAATGTTGTTTACCGCACTTTTTGCGTAATATATTATGATAGTTTAAAAGTTTCATTTCCAGAGCTATTACATTAGGTAACCGATATTGTCAAGTTGATTTTCTCACACCGTTTCCTGGTTTTAAACTTGACTAAATTCTTCCAGTGCTTTGATATGGTTTAATGGTCAGTTAGTGAATTACGGTTTTGTGTTTGGATCGGATTTTCAGTGATGCTAAAAGTGAATTACGGTTTTGTGTTTGGATCGGATTTTCAGTGATGCTAAAGGGGGGGTTTTCTATCAATCATTTCGACAAATTCGGTTTTCACTTTGCTGCTATTTTTCCTCTGATCTTCACAGGATCTAATGTCATTTTTCTACTGGACCGATGACCCCGTCCCGGTTAAGCGCAATGTTTTATTGTCTTATATTCAAGAATTCAAGAATTATATTCACGAATGTTTTACTCGTTGTCTGGCGGTTATAAGAAACTACAATAAAATTTTAATAACTTAGTGTTACAGATTGGCATTGAAAATGCAACTTTATAGACCAAGAACTTTTGCAAAAATTTTGTATTGTTCCCTACACTCGAGTGCGCTTGTTGTGTCTGGTATCCCTTTTAAGGTGTAGACTCCGCGTTTCGAGCATTTTGGACATTTTCAATGACGGCGAAGTACTTTTTAGGATAAATATATCCTTTTATAACATTCTACAAATAAATGTTGCAGCTTCTCTCTAAAATTAACATTTACTTCTCCGTCTGCTAAATAGTTTATTAGTTTTTGGATTAATAGTTTCAATTCTATAGCTGTTACAAGACTAACACACTGCCACTTAAACGCATTATTTAGAACATACTGTTGTTCTTAGTCTTGAATCTTTTTATACTCCATAAACAATTTAACACTATTATTAGCTCTTTATCTCTTTCCATTCCATTTCCAAACTCTATTATCGGGAGTTTTTATATCAATAATATTGATGAGGCAATTGTTTCTTGGGGGTTATCTATTCAATCACTTCGACGAGGTCGGTGTTAAGCCTTTGGTTTCGAGTTTGTTGCCACGTTTCCTCCGATCTTCACAATGCCCGTTTAAGGGCGTTGTTCAATTTTCTTATATTCAAGTAGATTTCTTGGTTCCAGGTTTGAACCACCGGGGGTTGGACCACCCCTACTGGCCGAAGGTAAGCCCCGACAGTGCCGAGAACATGCACGACTACCCAACCGACATTCCGCGCGGATTACTGGAACAGAACGAGGACCTGGTGATCATCAGGCAACAACTGAGCCAGAACCCGCCCGCGCCGCCCGGCACACCCAACGCGAACCTGGGCAACTCGTACGACACGTCCATCTCAAAGAGTAACACGAATTCGGCGTTCACGCCGATCAACTCGATGTCGGGCCACCTCAATCACCTCAATCAGCTGGCGCCCAATCGACCCTACATCTACGACGCCTTGTCGTTCCAAAACAAGAACAGCCTGGACATACCCAAGTCGCAGCCCAGCAACGGGTTCCCCAATCAGCTGATATCGCTGCACCAGATTAGGAACTACGCCCATCAGCCAAACGCGAGTCTCATGGAGCACTCCATATTGGGCGGGCTCAAGGATAAGTAATGACGTCCTCCGCGCACAGTTCGTTCTGTCGTTGGTGATGGCGTTTCGACGGGAGAGTCGCTCGGTGAGGGTCGCCGTTTCGTTGATCTCGTATTAAGTTTAAGCTTTAGTTTTTTTTGTGCCGTCGGGAATGTTGGCGCGCCATCCTGTATATTTTCGTTAATCGTTCACGCTCGAAGGTTGAACACGTCGTGGGGGTGGTGACTCACGCAAATTAAAAACCAATTTCGGTCTTAAACGTAATAATGATAATAATTGTCGGCGTTTTATATAAGTGGTGATTTACCTGATGTCCCGGTAATGACGAGGTGTTAGAGGAACGGACCCTACTAGAAATTTGAAAAAGGAATCGATTAAGCAAATCGATGCTAGGAATTAGTTTCGAGAGTCCGTGAAATAGCAAGCAGTGGTCCTTATTGCCACCTTGGTTTCGAAAACTTATTTTCTGCGAAATTTTCTTATATTAGAGATAGAGTGAGTACCGTGAGTAACTATCGTTAATATAAGAAAATTTTACAATAAAAATTAAGATGGCAACCACGCCTTCTAGCGTCTTCTTGGTTTTGACGGTTTTTTTTTCAAATGTCAAAGACCATCCGTTCACTACTTCACGATGTTCGAGGAAATCACGGCCGTGGTCCGGACAGTCATTTTTGCGCGAAACCAATCAAACTCTTAAATCAGGTATTCCCCGGGACAAAGTTCCTGCCCCGATGATTTCCTCGTTTCGATAATTTGTTTGTTGATGTAAATACACGACCGCGGTCGCTAAATTGTTAAATTCTCGTCGTTCAAAAACGACTCACGACCTCGGCGCGTGAGGGCGGCCTCACCAAAGAATTTCCAAATTTCACCATTTAAAAATGGGTCGAATCCTAAAGTTGTCACTTTTATAAGCTTTATCCAGGACTATACGCGGCAATACGGCAACGGGATGTAATAATTTATAAATACAATAGTAAAATTTATATAATTTGTATACGGGTTGGGCGCCACAATTCAATACGCTATATTGGTGTGACGTCAACTGTCGATGTTTGGGATCCAAAAAAATCGATTCGTTCATATGGTTGTGTAAGTTTTTGTGTGATATTTAGTTATTGGTGACCATTTAACAGTACTAGTGAACATTTCTCAATGTTATTCAGTTTCTTAAGTCTAAATCCCATTTCATTCATTTCATAAACAGAATTGAATTAAAAAAAAGACCTGATGATTGTTATAAAAAATTCAAGCGCATAAGAAAAGATAAGATTTAAATTCCTCTCTTTCCTACTAATATAGTACTTATACTTATTATAACATAAGATTATAAAAAGCGTAAAAAACGGCATTTTTATTAGCGCTTATCAGCCAAATTTCTTTTGCCACAATTCTCTTAGAAAAACTGCCATTTTATTAGCAAGTGTCATTTTTCTCAATTCTTCCATAGCGGACGCTAGATTTGAAAGGCTACAACAACTCGCAAGAAAGCGGATTTTGAAGAAAAATTATATAAAAATATATACAAGTTTTCACGAAAATCACCCTTCGAAATATTTCCATCCATAAAATTTCAAATACCCTCCTGGTTATTTAATATATTACGCTTATTGGGTATGAACGATTTTCGTAAGTTGCCTAATTTGATTTCGTTTGTTATTATTATCATTTATAGTTTCAAAAGTATTCCATTTGAATTTGCTCTTTGAAAATACGACAATCAGAGGAAAACCTGCATTATTTTTTAACATCATAGGTTATAGTTTTTATATTTTTGTTTTCATTAAAATACCCTTCCACGCTATTTTATTTCAACTTGCAATACTTAAGTAGTAATACTCTATTGATAAATAATCACTAAGTCAGTTAAATAGTCTGTCTTGATTACAATACATACAAAAACTGAAACAGCAATCATTATAGGGCAAATCGTTTCGTTTGGATCCCGAACGTTGACAGTTTGTAACCAAGATGGCCGATGCTACGTTATCACCAATATAGCGCGTATTGCTTTCAGAAACGCGTCCAAGTTAGGTTAGGGAACGCGCCCTTGCCGCGCGAACGCCCCCTGGCGGCGAGGCAATATATAAAACAAAAAAGTGTTGATATTTCTGTTACGTTTTTGCCCCGCAGAGGCGAAGGATATTGTATAGGAATAATTATATAAAGACATGTGAATATAAAAAAAATTACTAGTTAAGGTTGTACAGAATAAATAGTTTTTTTTTCGTAGGGGGTCGGCGGGGAGAGGGCGCTCGCCCCGACCGCGTTTTCACGGGATGCCCTTTTTTCCTCTTTTCGTATACATAGTTTATTTTTTAACAATCATGGATCCGGACGGGCGCCCTCCCGACTCCCATAGCTCAAATATATATTTATTATTATTTAACGTACACGAATCTCAAAAAAAAATTGTTTCGGGTATAGTTAAGAGTGCTGAAGTTTGTTTTTTTTTACATTACATTTTGAGGTTTACTATCGGTGCAAATATATCGTTAATGTTAGCCAATTGACAGTTGAAATGTCCGCGGGCGTGGCCTTTTTTTTGAGGATCGGGTCGGGGAAGCTACCGCACATTCCGAGATGGTTTTTCCGGTACTTATACAATGAATCGTTTAGTTTTTGAATCGAGGAACGATCCGTAGCTTTTCCGTTTAATTACCCGACCATTGCTCAGACTATATATGTTGTGTATACGTGGCAGTATACGGAAATGTTAAGTTTTCTTTTGATTTCCCACAGTGTACATATTCGGTTACGTTACGTTAACGTAAGTTTCTCTCTCTCTCTTTCTCTATCTATCTCTATCCCGAGTTACTTGATTAAGTATGGAAACGAGCTTTAACCTGTTAGTTAAGTTTATTTGATTTTTTTTTTGTAAGATATCTCTGTTGTATAAGCTTGTGATTATTCAAAGACGAAAACGAAGCGAAGAAGAAAAAGATGTATTTATGAAAATTTATCGGTTTTGTTACATTTTTTTTATTATTAAATAAACGTTACTATTTCCTTCCTGTCGATACGATTTTGTTTTTTTTTTAATTTTTGTTTTCTCCCCTTCTCCCGACTTTGGTTCGTCGGCACCGCGTTTGTAACTGTGATAATTTTTCGTACTGATAAAATATGGTAAATAGTCAATTTGTAAATAGGGTTTCGAACGATTTCCAGTGACGGACTTTCGCTCTGTGTGTAGAAAAGCGAGGAGAAAAAGGCATTTAAAAAAACCTTAATCTAGGTGTCGTATGGTATTTTAACGAGACACACAACGAACACTTTTTCCGTTCATCGAATCCCCGGTTTTTGCATTTTTTTTTACACTCGACCCCATCAACACTTCCCTGTAGGTTCTCCCTAGTTCCCTCCCACCAAACCAAGCGCACACACACCTCTAGAACATAAAAACAAAAAACAATTTGGAGTTATTGGTGTACTTGAAAATTAGTGTTATATAGTATGTTTACTGAATGTAAGAAATAAAAGCCATTTGAAACTATGGATGGATTTTGTTCACAACCTCACCTTGTTTTCTGTAATTTTTATTGAATACAAAAAATTATTTCTCATATACTGACAACAATGCAAATACTTATCACATAAAATATTCTCTGATAAAATATTGTTCTATCTTATGGGCGGCAGTTTCTGAAGATGTAACGATACACACTCGAGTTAATTTAAGATACATCTCAGTTGCACAATGTACATTGACGGATAAAAAGGTTTGACGAATAACTGCTAGATGATAAACTAAAACTGATTTTCATATTCATCTAATTATTAACATGAATAACGTCGGCAACACCACCAAGTAAGTAATAGGTTCTTTTAAGGTGAACAAAAAAATCATCATGATCCAAAAAGGGGTTATGTAATTTTACTAAAATAGTTTTTTTGTCTTATTGATTAAAGCAGTATTTTTAAGACAATATTTCCTTCTTCATAGTTCTAATTCATGAAAAGTTTGTTATTAAAATGTTTTTATATGTATATGTATTAATGACAAAAAACATTGATATAATAGAAAGCTAACCTTAATAGCTTAAATTATACGTGAATTGTATATCATTTAGAATACATTATTTTTTTTGGGGATGTAGAGGACTTTCCTATTTAACAACGTGTTATGCTGTGGAATAAAAAGCCCATAGCATAAAGATTCTGTGCAAAACATCAACGACTTCGTGAACTTAACCTTAGAATTAAATATGCAGAATTTGGAATTTATGACTAAACAATTTTAATCGGCAGGCCATTAACACACTACAGCATGTTTACAAGCATGAGATAAGAAAGTCGATATTGCAGACGACCCTGAAGACATATCAATAGTTCAGGTACCGATAATTGTTTGTATATTTACTTTCATTATCACATGAAATGCCAAAGAAGAAACATAAACAGCCAACGATGTTTGATTCCCGGGACTTTTTTAGTATAAGTGTTTTCGATGCGTTTTTCTATTCTAGTTCCTGACCATGTTGGAGAATTTTACGTACTGTCCACCAAACGTCTCGATTTGGAACGTTTGGGTGAACCATGGCACTTCCCAATGTTTTATGGAAACATTCTCCAGCTCTTTGATAGCTGGTTTCATCCTGCTGGCCGGGACTATCCAACTATTTATATATCGGAAGTATGGCACAGAAATTTCACCAAATTATTTGCCCAGCTCCAAGCTTTTCCGCTTCCAGCTCTTGCTTATTATTTTATTGCCAATCTTCGAACTGCTTAGGTTTATTTTAAAGGCAACAATCTTAGACGACAAAACTGTTTATGGATATATGGTATGTAAGATACTTTTGATTGATCTTTTAGTTTGTGTTTTGATATATAAATAAAAAGTGTTTTTTAGATAGTGTCATTGGTATTGACTGCATTTGCAAATTACTACTCAATATGGGTCATAGTGGTGGAACGCAATTATCAACTACCTTCTGTGCCAACACATGGACATGGTATAGTTTTGCTCCTCTTCTGGTCAGTCATTTTCATTTTAGAAAATCTTGCTTTTCTAAACTTAAACCAGGACAGTTGGTGGTTCAAATTGAAAAGGTTAGTCAGTTATTGATTGTGATATAGATTGAAACTTTAAAAAATGTGCCCCTATTTGGCAGCATTATTTATATTTGCTTTTAGCACTTCAGATCAAATCTCAATGTCACTATTTGTTATCAAGTACATAATGTGCTTATCACTCTTTGTATTGGGCCTGAAAGCACCGGGAATCCCCCAAAATACAGATTATTTCAGCCTAAATGATGCCACAAGAAACGTTCGACCAGTGAGTTAGTCCACTTATTGTCCCTGAAAATTTTGATTTGCTTCTCCATTTGTAGCAACCAGATGATAATCAATCTACATGGAGAAACTTTTTTAAAAAAATGAGAACATTACTGCCATTTTTGTGGCCAAAAAAGTATTTCTCTCTGCAATTTCGGGTGATTTTTTGCTTTCTCTTACTGGCTGGAGGTCGGGTGACAAATTTGTATGTCCCTCTCTATAGCGGTTTCATAGGTAATGGCTAACTCTCATTATTATTACCAGTCCTGTTTTTTTATTGATAATCATTCTAGTTGATTCCTTGACTGACGGCAAGGGACACAATATAGAGTTCCGATGGGATTGGATTCTTTTGTATGTAGGCCTGAAATTTTTACAAGGCGGAGGTACAGGGGGAATGGGACTGCTGAATAATTTGAGGTCATTTCTATGGATCAGAATACAGCAGTATACAACGAGGGAGATTGAGGTATGCGATTTATAGCCTTTAGCAACCAAAAATATAAGAAACATGTTTTTAGGTTGAATTGTTTCGACACTTGCATAGCCTATCGCTAAGATGGCACTTGGGTAGAAAAACTGGTGAAGTACTGAGGGTAATGGACCGAGGCACGGATAGTATCAATAACCTTCTGAATTATATGTTGTTTTCAATAGCGCCTACCATTATCGATATAATAGTGGCGGTGGTATACTTTACCACTGCTTTCAATGCCTGGTTTGGATTGATCGTGTTCGTAACTATGGTATTGTACATAGCGGTGACCATAGCTGTGACAGAATGGAGGACGAAATTTCAAAGACGTATGAACTTGGCGGATAACGAGACTCGCGCTCGAAGCGTCGATTCTTTATTGAATTTCGAGACTGTAAAATATTACGCCGCTGAACAATACGAGGTTGATGCTTTTAAGGAGGCCATTTTGAAATTTCAAGTAAACCAAGCGTCTTGGTTGGTCTTGAGAAAGGTATTAATATAAAGTTCTCTCCTTAGGATGAGGAATGGAAGTCTATAATCACACTGAATATGTTAAACACGGCTCAGAACTTGATTGTGTGCTCTGGACTGCTGGCAGGCAGCTTATTATGCGCTCACTTAGTGGCGAATGAACATCAACTTAAAGTTGGCGACTATGTACTTTTCGCCACTTATATAGTGCAATTATATGTCCCTCTCAACTGGTTTGGGACTTATTATAGGTAAAGATGTAGGTGTTTACTTTATATCGACATTTACATTGTGATTTTAGAGCTATACAAAAAAATTTCGTCGACATGGAGAATATGTTTGATCTCCTCAAAGAGGAGCAGGAGGTGGTCGACGCGCCTGGTGCGGGACCGATAGCCGTCAAAAAAGGGGGCGTGGAATTCAATAACGTCACTTTTGGCTACTTGCCCGAACGCCTGGTACTAAAAAACGTTTCGTTTTCGGTACCACCCGGTAAAACAGTGGCCCTGGTATGTACAGAATCACAGTAGTGCAGGTTTCTTAAGAAAACTATAAAATTTGACATGAACATTTTTGCATTCTTTTTATTTTATTTTTAAAAAATTTTTAGAGGTGTTTAAAATTTTAATTGACTATGACAGTAAGAGTGAAATTGGCTTAACTTAATATTTATTTTTTAATTATACGTATATGTATATATTGTATATGTTTTTTTTGATAAGGTACTTTATTGTACCTATTCTATTGCATGCGTATTAATTAAACGTACATTTTGTAATGTATTGTTATGGTAAAAATCTTTCCACACACTTCATAACAAAAACACTTCTCAAGAACTCTTGTTCTCAGATACTTTGAAAATGATTTGTCTGAAAAATCATTTATCCACCATATGTTATAGTATTAAGTGTCTATAGATGTGTGGTAGAACTCCCATCGATAATGTGTTTTGCAAACAAATAAAAAAAAAAGATCCAGCGTTTATTAAGGGACCCATCCTATGTTTATCGATCTCGATAAGGTGCTCGCAAATGAATGCAAATTTCTTTTTTTTTTTTTTTAAAGGAAATCGGTGGCGTGCCACTCACTGTGTATGAGCAAATAATGTATGGGTTAACTATTATTAATGATATAAAATAACATCCTAACAAGATAAATAATAAGCGACTCTTATAACAATTCTCTGTATGCGGTCATGTTAACGATATTTTTATGACCTTGCAGAGAAGAAGAGGTTTTTATTTTTTAACCAGATTGAAAAAAATCAAGAAATGAAAGTTCTTTAGAAAAGATTGAGGATTGTAAGAAAAATTTTAATCTTACGAGAAATCATTGACATACTACCATACCCGCCATTGGTGTATCTTAAAAAAATATTTAACACTAAATAATACCTCAGTGCCAAATTCAATTAAAACATTTGAAGAAGATATTAAAGAAATATATTTTTTAATTTTTGAAAATTTTACCACCTTGTGTCTCACAAATTAAGACGTTTAGGACCTATGTTCATATGACATTTGATTTTTAAGATGGACCCCAAAATCACCCCATTGACATTCAATTAGGAAACACCCTTTGTGTAGATGTGTGGTTTTATATTTTTATAACACTGAATGACTTTCCTAAATTTTTACTTTTTTTATATACAGCAATTTTATGATTTTTAATCGAAAAATAAGTAGCTCCAGTAATCTGGATTCTTCCAAATGCGAAATTGACTGAAACGATATGTCGGGATGACTGAGGCACTGTAATTTCGAAATGTTTGGCGATCTTTCAGGTCGGTCCATCGGGTAGCGGAAAAAGCACGATAATCCGGTTGCTATTTAGGTTTTACGACGTCGAGACGGGCGCCGTCATCATAGACGGCCAAAATATTAAAACGGTGACGCAAGAATCACTGCACAAAGCAATAGGGGTCGTGCCCCAGGATACCGTACTGTTTAACAATACAATAAAGTACAATATAAGATATGGTAGATTAAATGCCGACGATGCCGAGATTTTGGAAGCCGCCAAGGGGGCGGAGATCCACGACAAAATTATGATGTTCCCGCAGCAGTATGACACTCAGGTGAGAGAAGATATGTATGTTATCTCTCTTTAAAGGTCTTTCTTTACCTTTATAAATTAATATTGTGATCTGAAACGTGGACTAGGGGTAGGACCTAATATATACAGAACATGTAGCTTTACATTTACATAGTAAAGCATATCTATTTGGACCAAAGGGCCGAACGTTATTGGGTCTCGTTTTTAGAGTTAACAATATTAACTAGGCAACCATGTTTTCTAATGGTAATGATATCTAATGTACTAATATTTATGTAAAGAAATTATATTTTCTTTATTTGGAGTTAATACTAGCTGCTCGTATGTGCGTGTGTTCTATCGGCTTGGCTTTAGAGTTCAGATATATAAGTATGATGCTTGTTGAAATGTATTTTTAACATTTTTCAACTGAGATGGACTAATGAAAGTCAGTCGTTTGAGCAGCCACTGTTATTTGTTTCACTTATTCTTCTGCTTTTGGTTCTTTTAGTTACATTCTGATGGTGACACTTTAATAATTAAATATTTCCACTTAAAATCAGGAATTTGTTTCTTAAAATTTTCAAAACGTTCTTGTTCATGTCAAGTGTTTTCTGATTCACATGATAACAGTAGACTTAAATTAATCTTAAAAAATGGAGGAAGAAAAGTCGGCATACTCTTTTGAGATTACCTATATTGGTTACGGGAATTACACACAGTCCCATTATGCCGAACTGTCAATAAAATTTTATCTTCAAAACGGCTTTTACGGCAACTACGCAATACAGTGCTATGTTTGTCAACAATATGGAAAAATATCGTCAAACTGCCCTGTTAGGAAATGATGAGGGAATGTGTAAACGATAATGATTATTGAATAGACTCCAAACATCTCAAACATATTACAAACAAACCTGCACTTGCGTTAAAAGGTTTTTCCTATTTTGGAAAACTCAGATGTTATCTAAGTGGATCTCTTTGTTCTTTATTCAACTCGACCTTCGTGGATCACTTTAGGTGGGCGAAAGAGGTCTGAGACTGAGCGGTGGCGAGAAGCAGCGCGTAGCGATCGCGAGGACGTTGCTGAAAGCGCCGACGATAATACTTTTGGACGAAGCCACAAGCGCCTTGGATACCCAAACGGAACGCAACATTCAGGACTCGTTGAATAAGATGTGCGCGAATCGCACAACGATCATCGTGGCTCACAGGTTGTCCACCATAATACACGCAGACGAGATTCTGGTCCTGAAGGATGGCGAGATCGTCGAACGGGGAAAGTAAGTAAGTAAATTGCTTCGACGATAGTTGTTATAGAAACGCGTTTGCAGACATGAGAATCTCGTGGGACAAGAGGGGGTGTATGCCGGCATGTGGAAACAACAGCTGGAGAGCAAAGACGCTTCCTCTAACGAAGCCAGCTTGGAACAGAGTACGAACTCCTAGCGGTTGGACAATTTATATCTCGGTTTAGGATAGTTTTTTACCGTAGCTTTGAGTTTAAAAATGTTAAGTGATATGTGATAAGGGCCTTGTGCTTTTTTCTGGTGTTGATAAATATATTGTAGTTATGTTTTGGAAGTGTGTTATTTACCTGGAGAATATGGAATGCGGAAGGGATAACAGTGGTTCTAGAAAAACGAAATATCCCATGAACTAAGCAGGCTTAATCTTAAGGCTACTAGATAAAGCTTCAACTTCAAAATGTCAAAAAAGGTGCACAAAAAGTGAAATCTAACCTACGGAGGATTGAAAACGAGGATCTATGTGAAGCGATAGCGTAGTTCTTCGTCCTCTCCAAACTAACCCTACAAGTTACACAAATCTGTTTCACAAGTTTCACCAAATGCAGACAAATATTTTAATTTAGAAATCGACAAGTAAGATGTAAGGATTAGCAGGAGACTGATTAATTTTTCTAAATCTACAGAACTATTATTTCGGAAAGTTTAATATGTGAAGAAAAAGAAAATGTAGGAGACAACCATGACAGTAACAATTAAATCACATAATGTCATGAGTTGCTTCGCTTGAAAATATTGATGAGCATACTTTAGCTTACTTAACATACCCGACCTCAAAAATCGCCTAATAGTCATTCTATGGGGGTTCATTTCGAATACAACATTACTGGCGGAATTCTTAAATAGTTGAACAACAAGACGAACGTATAATAATAATAGCACTTTATTTCCAACAGGTAACATGACTCAATTACAGGAAATATTAAATATAAATCATCCAATATATATATACTAGGGGACGTAGAAACTAATCTTATAACTAAAAAAAATGAAGAAGGATAGAAAGAAAAGGATAAGACTTATCGGTACGCATAACCCGACGCCATTCGAAGTTGCTGAATTTTGGCCTGGAGACCATCATAATATAAATCGCAGTACGATGATAGTTTGTTGAAGGTAGCACACATATTGTAAGTAGGATTTTGAAAATGGATATTGGACCCCGGTAACTGCGGTAAGAAAGTTGATTGATGTCTCCCTTCCAGCCGCGGCGCATGAAAACGTAATTTTTCCAGAAGAAACGGACAATCGACTCCATAATGAACTAACTTATAAAGAAATGAAACAGATTGCATGTCTCTGCCCAAGCTCAGGGGCAGTATAACGAACCATCTTAGTAGAAGATCGTGATCAACTCCCCTCTCAGGATAGGAACCGTCCTCCCTGAACGTTAGATACTTTAGTAACCTTCTCTGCACACTCTCAATGGACTGAGTGTGGCAGTTATAAATTGGTGACCATATCAGCGAGCCATAGTCAAGCTTGGACCTAACGAAACAGTTAAATAACAATTAAATATTACGAATCCTAAATTTTGCATTGCACTGGAAACCATTTTTGTAATGTGAGGTACAAAAGAGAACGACTGGTCAAATAAAATCCCCAGATCCTTCACAGTAGCAAGTCTAGTCAGGACCGTACCATCCATATTGTAATTAAAGACTATAGGAGTTTTTGTGCGGTGGTAAGAAACCACATTACACTTGCTGATGTTAAGATGCAATTTATTTTTAGTACATCATTGACTGACCATATTGATGTTGTCCTGGAGAGTCATGCAGTCCATGCCAGTTTCGATGCTCTCGTATAGCTTTAGGTCATCCGCATAGGCAAGCTTGTTGCAGATGATCGAAGATACGAGATCATCTATAAATATATTGAAAAGCAGAGGTCTAAGGTTAGAACCTTGAGGCACGCCAGAAGTTGGAACAAAAGGAACTGATCTAAACCCCTCAATCTCAACAAACTGTCAACGATTCACCAAATAGGACCTCAACACTGTAATCAGCGAATCAGAGAAACCAAATTTATGAGATGCTTTTTCAATCAGGAAGTGATGATCTATCTGGTCAAATGCTTTGTGGAAGTCAGTGTATATAACGTTGACCTTACTTGTTCAGAGAGTCGCAGACATACAAAGACAGGGAGCATAAGTTAGTGATACATGATCTTTTCGCATAAAAACCATGTTGTTGCGTAGATAGTTTATTTCTAATTTGAGCAAAAATAAATTTATTTAATATAATCTCGAATATTTTAGAAAAGTTGCTCAAGATCGAAATAGGCCGGTAGTTTTCAACAACAGAGGGATCACCTTTTTTGAGAATATGATAAACTTTGACATATTTCCAAGGCTTTGGATAAACACCCGTCTCAAGTATCAGGTTAAAAACGTGACATAAAGGAGCACACAGTGCGTGGGAACAGTCTCTCACGAGAAAACTTGGTATGCCATCAGGACCAGCGGTAATTTTGTTCTTGAGTGCTTTGCTTGCTGACAAGACATCCTGGATAGTAAGCTTAGGTATGTTCACTAGTTCCGGATTAGAGGACACGCTTGAAGATGAACATGGATCTGGCTGGGATATGGTGTAAACGCTACCAAAGTACTTAGCAAAAGCTGCAACAACCATATTAGGCCCTTGGCATGGCTGACTAGAATAGGACATCGAGCCTGGGATTCGCGGATCTGCCTTCCTCCGCTGAATAAATGTATATGAAATCATGTATACTTAACTCAGCACGACGAAGAAAATCAGTATAGGCAATGCGTGACTGGAACTTGATTGACTTGCGTAGCGCGGTATATCGGCCAAAATAATAAGCAGATTTGTGTTGCTTGAAATTGCGGAAAGCTTTCTCTTTCTTAAATATAGTTGCGATCATTTCTTTAGTGAACCATGATGGAAATCGCCTTCATCTCGGTGTTTTAGTGGGCGTGCAAAGGGCAAAAATATTGTTTGGCATGTCGTAACATTTACATAACATAACATTTACAACTTATTTTGGCTGCATAGTGATCTATCTCCTTTTTAACAATCCATTTGACCAATTTTGTAAATCTTACAGGTGTATTCAAAAAGTCCTAACCACCACAAACCACTTTTTCGCCAATTTCGTAAACATTCATTTTTGTTTCCACAATGTACTACTCGCCCAGATACCACTTCAGTGACGCGCTACATGCAAGAGTAAACTCAACCGCTCACTATCCATATAGTGTAGTGTAGTGTAGTGTAGCTATTAAGTTAATCCATTTGTAATTACGTCGCAACGCCAGGAAGGAAAAAAAAATAAATTCTGTTACTTACGATACTGAAGGATGCCGTAATGATGTACAAATAGCAAGCACTGTGCCGGACAATCGACTGCTAACTGCTTTGGTTTAACAGAGCTGGGCTTTCTTCGGAATCTCGACACTAGTTTGTAACACTACTATTATGCACAAAACACCTCCAACACGCAACAAAAAATCAACAAATTAGTTTGGCAAATTTCACTAGACAGTGCTATCAACGGATACCAACCGAATATCATACGTTAATTTCATAACGGTGCCGAGCCACTCAGAAGGGAGTTTCATTGGAAAGGCGGTTCGTTTGACATCGGTGAAGTTGGTATCCTTTTATATTGCACGACTCTCGAATTTTAGCAGCGAGTTAGTTGTTAAAGCATTGTGTTTAATATGGAACTGGAGGAATAAAACTTATTTCTGTTATATGATAATTTAAGGTTATAATTCAGATATTTTTTTTAGCAAGATATAGGTTCTAAGGTATTGCTTTACGGTGGAGGTGGTTTGCTGTTATTGTAGTTAAGAGTGTTTCCGAGTTGAATGATGAAGATTTTACAATTGGGTATATGAATGGAATTATGGAGAAGCTTCTAGCCTTTAGAGGGGTTATTTGCATTTTTGCAACGAATATTTTTCAGCGCTCTTTGGGTTCGAGTAGGGAAAACAGGGATGTCTACGAACAAAAATATTACAATGCCAATACTAATTATTTTTTAAGGCAATACATTATAAAACACAACGCAAACATATGAACAACTCATACGAAAATAGTGCAGCTATTCCAAATTTTACCTCCGAAGTAGCTGTTTTTCGGTGGAGGTTATGGAAAACAGAAATACTTAGAGTGCACGTGTGCATACCTTTATCTATGGGTCTTTATCGTAGGTTTTTGGGAGATTTTATAAATCCAAAGTAACAAAACAATTCCCATAAATCCACATACATTTGCAATTTAAAGTGGTACCGACTAAAATGCATTTGTGACTCATTGAAAAACACGCCGCAAGTGGCGTGGTAGGTATTCCCCACGCGGACGCAGATCACTAATTTTATATTATCTGCGGGTATTAATTTCAAATCGGTTTCGCAATCTTTCGTAACTCCATCGTCCAGTGATAATGACCATTTATAATCGCAAGTCAAAAAAATCCGACGGGGAAGAAGATGAAACGCTTTCGAGGTAAGAGTCTACCCCAAAGATGCCATTTTAGAATTCATCTTAAACTGAAATTAATAACATTTTAGAAAGCAGGCGCGAGATGGCGATCAATCTCCGAAAATTAAGGTATGGTCTGTTCATAGATATAAGAAAGTGAGCAATTGCGTTTGAATGGGATTATCCAAGGGTGGTCATTAACATGCAATGCAACAAGATTATTTCGGAATTAAATTTGGAATTTAAATTCAGGTAAAATTGTGGTCCGGAATTGAAAATAATGTTATACCCCCCTGTGTTTAATATTCTTTGGTTTGGTATATACTACTTAGTTTAAGTTTATTAGTAATAATTCTTATTTGGTGTGTAATACAACGTGTGTTGAATCGTGTGCGAATTATGCAAAATATGTGCGAGTCTAGTGTATCTCAGGAGATGCTCCCGCCCAAATGTAGAAAGCACTATTCTATTGAGACTAAGGAAGTTATAAACAATGTTTATTTGACTCTCATTGAACGTGGTGCCAGCAAACAAGCATCTTTAGAAGAAACGGCCACATTGACGAAAATTTCAACATCAACTCTACGGAAAATTGTGAGCGAGGAAAAAAAGAAGCGATGCTGACATTTTCTCGAGTGTAGATGAAAGTGGTCAAGATATAATACGGCATAAAATTTACCAGTTATACGAGGAACAAAGCGTGCCTACATTAGATATCTTAATTAGGCGGCTTGAAAAAGATGAAACCGGTGTTAAATGTGGCAGAACTACCTTATGGAAGTGTATTCAGCACATGGGTTTTAGATTAAAAAAAATTAACACAACGCAAGTTTTAATGGAATCTTTTAGAATTCGGAAATGGCCACTGGAATATCTAGAAAAAAATAGGATTTACAGAGAACAAAGGCCAATTATTTACTTGGATGAAACCTGGTTCGACACTTATGATACCCCTGAAAAGGATTGCGTTGACTCAACTGATAAGTGTAAAACAAACGCGCCATCAAAAAGAGGTAAAATAATAACTATTTCTCATGCTGGCTCTAAAGATGGTTGGATTCCAAATGGACCTTCTCTGTCTGCGAAAAATATTAAAGATCCTTCTCTGGATTACCATGAAGACACCACCGCTGATTTATTTGAAAGTTGGATTAAAAACTCCTAATAGCGTAATTGTAATGGCCAATGCACGTTATCACAGTAGACAGTTGACTAAAACCCCTTCCTCATGTGACACAAAAGCAACGATCCCAAACTAAATGTATAATAACGACATTTATTTTCTCGAAGATTACACCAAGAAGCAATTAATTGAGGTTCTACAAAGCTTGAACCTATAAAAGGAATACGTCTGTGATAATTATGCAAACAATCTAGGGCATACAGTTTTAGGGCTTCCACCTTACCACTGTATATTTAATCCCATTGAACATGTTTGACACCAACTGAAATCTGCCATTCGTCGTAACAATGTTTTTCCCCGTGTTAACTCCAATGTCCTTAAACTTATGGAAACCGAAGTTTTTAACATCCCTCCACAAAGTTGGGCTAATTCTGTTAAACATATAGAAAAAGCGATGATAGCGATAGTGATACTAATATATTATGTGAATAATTTTAAGTAATTTAAGTAGGCAATAAAAATAATTTGTAATTTTATTTTAGATTTAAACATAAATACATACATAAATGAATAAATATTGTTTAGTATCTTTCCTAACAAAACCCTAAATATTTAAATTCTATGCAAAGTACGGACCTGTTCGGTCATATTTCATTCTTACAGCTTGCCCGGGTCTTTCCTTAATCCGTATCAGTTAGTCAATTTCTTATATCTATGAACAGACTTTACCCGTTCCGGGAATTGTTGGATGCGCCGCTTTAGGAACTTTGTATTTTAGAAAGTTAAGTCGAATTGGTGGAAAATTAAAATTTTGCTCAATTTCTTGGTACCCAGAAGAAACTTGGGACTTCAAGTAAGGGTACTACTCTGTTTTGCCATATTAGGCGCAGAGCGGTTAGCGAATTTGTACGTCCCAATCTACAGTAAACTCATAGGTAAGTCAATAAGGAAGGCTTTCGTCTCTTATTTATGTTTTGGCAGTCGATTCATTGACTCCTCAAGACGGTACTACTCGCTCACTCCGATGGGACCTCATTTTGATCTACACTGCTCTGAGGAGTTGCGCAGGAATCGGCTATTCTGGCATTTTCAACAGTCTGGCGTCATTTCTATGGTCCCCCTTGGAGCACTACGTCCGCAAACAAGTCCAGGTTTCCCTGTTTAGGCACATCCACAGTTTGTCGCTCCGATGGCACCTGGAGAAAAAAACCGGCGAGGTTCTACGCACCATGGACCGATCTGGCGACACCATCAACATGCTACTGTACGTCGTATTCTTCGTAATAGTACCGGTGGTGAGCGATTTGCTGGTGGCCATCAACTTTTTCTGCCAGTTATTCAACTTCGCCGTGGGCCTGATTATATTCGCAGCTATGATCGTCTTCGTGGGTAAGTGGAATCGAGTCAACATCAGCGGTAAGTAAATGTTTAGCTGCAGGTCTGAATATGGTCTTCATGGAATGGTATTCCAAGTTTCAAAAGAACATCGTCGAAGAAGACAACGAGGCCAACTCCAGCAACGTCGACTCCTTGTTGAATTTCGAAACGGTGAAGTACTACTGCGCGGAAGCGCACGAGGTAGACAAGTTTGAGCGAGCTCTCACCAAGTCTCAGGTACTTGGACGATTTTTAATTGTACGGCGATTGAGTTCCTCCTTAATGCAGGCTAGTCAATGGAAATCGTATCTGGTTATCCTGGTAGCCGATTCGACGGAAAGTCTTATATTTTTCTGGATATTTCTCGCCGGCTGCCTGTTTGCCGCGAATCGCGTGGTGACGCTGCCCGACCAGATGACCGTAGGCGATTACGTGCTATTCACTTCTTACCTCGTGCAGCTATCGAGGCCGTTGAGTTCGTGCAGCGGCATCCACAGGTACGAATCGACGCAAGTCCGTCTTTATTTTTGACGTAATATCTGCAGACAGATGCAGTACGTCTGCACCAGTCTTGATGGCATGTTCCAACTGTTCAATCAGGAACCGGAAGTTATCGACGCGATAGAGGCGGTACCCTTAGCCGCGGGTGGCGGGGAAGTCGCGTTTAATAACGTCACTTTCGGTTACAACGAAGACAGGATCATCTTAAAGAACGTCAGCTTCGTGGTACCAGCCGGCAAGACTGTAGCACTGGTAGGCCCTTCAGGTAGCGGCAAGAGTACCATCATCAGGCTTTTGTTCCGATTTTACGATGTAAACGGCGGCTCAGTTCTCATTGATGGACAGAATATTAAAGGTGTAACGCAAGTCTCCTTACGTAAGATAATAGGGGTGGTACCTCAGGACACGGTACTATTCAACGAGACCGTCAAGTACAACGTTAAATACGGGCGTTTCGGCGCTAGCGACGAGGAGATGATTGCCGCCACTAACGCCGCGGACATCCACGACAGAATCATGACGTTTCCAGAGGCGTACGGTACTATAGTAGGCGAGAGGGGCTTGCGCTTAAGCGGAGGCGAGAAGCAGAGGGTGGCGATCGCGAGGACATTGCTCAAGGCTCCCGAGATAGTACTGCTAGACGAGGCGACGAGTTCCTTGGACACCCACGCTGAAAGAAACATCCAAGCGTCGCTGGGGAAGTTATGCGAGCACAGGACCACCCTTATAGTAGCTCACAGACTCTCCACTGTGATACACGCTGACGAAATTTTGGTGCTGAAGGACGGGGAGATCGTGGAAAGAGGAAGGTACGATTTTGAGGTGGCGGGAAGGTTTCTGGTGGGATGACGGTGTCGTTTTAGGCACTCCGAACTTATAGAGAAGGAGGGGTTTTACTGTGATATGTGGAAACGGCAGCTGAATAGCGGTCTGGATTGACAAGTATGACTCGACGCTTTTTTTTGTACAGAATAAATTTAAAAATGAAATGTTCCAATTACATGTTTATAACTCGAGTTAAGGTTTAGTTTAGCTCATCTACAAATGACAGTAGAGTTCACGTTTCACGGTATTGGTAATTTTACAATTGAGACCTTTGGTGTTGTTTTCATGTGAGTTGTTTGCTGTTTTTTTCTGTCCGAAATAAATTGTAACATTGAATGGTATTAGCGATTTTACAATAAGGCCTCTGGCGGTAAAAACGTTAAAGTATTTCAAAAGTAAAATTTAGAATGGCAGCATTGTCAGTGATTCAGAGGTAAACATTACTTCCAAATGGCCATGGTTGTTTACTGCCAGCTGTAATACAATGGAAGAATAAAATTGCTAAATGGAAAGGAAATATTTATTGGCTTTCCCTATAGACGCAATAAAATGGCCAAGGTCGTTGATCAATTTGTGGCTTCGACTCCGACAATTGAACCAGGCGTTGGGAAGTGCAGTTGGCAGTCAAAACTCATTTCTATCTTAACAGCTGCCGATAATGCCGACAAAACTCATCAATTAGGCGTTGACTACGATGATGGAGAGGAATATGTACAAAGAAAAAGAGCAACTTTTTGTGTAAGTGTTTGTAATTAAACTGCTACAAATTAGTCTGGTTTTTGGATATGTGTTCTATTCAACGTTCTGGAGATAAAAGGAAATTTCTCAAGTTCGATTTTATTCGATTGTACGAAGGATATATTTGCAAAGGTTCGCAGATCTATATGAAAGCAATGACAACGATCGGCATCTTATTACTTATAGTTAACTAAAACTAGCTAAACTAGCCAAAACTGAACCGAATCCTTATTCTAAACCATTTTTGCATACCTCTACCGCTAAGCAGACCACATTCGAAAGAGAATTCGGCAAGCCCAGAACCGAAGGTAAGAACTACACCGAAGAAGAAATCCCGGTCCACTTGGAAAAACTTTTGGACCAAACTAATGGCGCTAGCACCGTACATGTGGCCCAAAAAGGCTATTTATAGAAACCTCCAAATCCGCATTATCTTGTGTTTTTTCCTCCTGGGTATAGGGAGGGTCATCAACCTCTATATCCCCATTTATAATAAGATCATAGGTATATTTCGCTAAAAATAAAGGAATTGAAAATTCTCAGTAAACGGTTCTACTTCAGTTGACTCGTTGACAAATCTCGACGCCGTTGCCTACAGATGGGACTGGATTGTGATCTACGTCTCTCTAAAGTTCTTACAGGGGGGTGGTTTGGACACGTTGGGCTTCCTCAACGACCTCAGGTCCCTTTTGTGGGTGGCAGTACAGCAATATACCAGCAGAGAAGTGAAGGTACGCGTTCCTCCTTCCAGATACACCTAATTCTATATATCTTACGCGGCAGGTTACATTGTTCCGCCACCTACACGGACTTTCTTTAAGCTGGCACCTCAACAGGAAAACAGGGGAGGTACTCCGGGTCATGGATCGCGGCACCGAAAGTGTCGACAATCTGATAAACGTCATATTTTTTTCCTTAGCGCCGGCGGTCATCGATATCCTCATTGCCGTGATTTATTTGTGCACCGCATTCAACTACTGGTTCGGCATCACAGTCTTGACAACGTTGGTGATGTACGTTGGTAAGTCACAGGGTACAAACAAATTGCACCATAGAGATCAGTGAAAATAGCACAGGGTGCCATAAAGTATTTAGTTAAAGTGGGGGTATGAGATGGAAAATGTTCGGAGATGCAATGAGTGTCACTTTTTGTCTTGTTAACGTCCGTTGCCCGGAGAAAGCTGCCATGACCTTGATCTTCCGCAGCTGTGACTGTAATCCTGATCGAATCGAGGTCTGACATTCGTAGGGCAATGAACGAAGCGGACAACAAGCGTAGAGGTAGAAGCGTCGACTCTCTACTGAATTTCGAAACCGTGAAGTATTACAACGCGGAAAATTACGAGGTCGAAACATTTAACGGAGAACTGCTCAAGTTTCAAGTGAGTCAAATATAGAACCTATCCTCGCTTGGAAGCTTGCTGTCTTTCGTTCCGGCTAGTAGTTATCGAATTGCGCATTTGCAATTGAACTTATCTTATAGTTTTTTTTAATAGGGGAAACAATTGAAAGCGAATCTGACGCTAAACATTCTACACTGCTCTCAAAATGTTGTGCTCTGCGCGGGTCTGCTAGCCGGATCTTTAATGGCCGCGCGTATGGCCACGGAAACATCTACCTCAACCGTCGGCGACTACGTCATGTTCTTGTCTTACGTCGTGCAATTATACGGTCCCTTGAATATGTTCGGCTTCCACTATAGGTCGGAATCGTCATTTTGATTGTGCAATGCGGTAAAACGTCCTTTCAGGCAAATCCAAAACAGTTTCGTCGATATGGAGAACATGCTCGACTTGTTAGAGCAAGAACCGGCGATCGTCGACTGCCCAGACGCCACATCTCTAGATGTCAACGGGGGAGCCATTCAATTTGAAAGGGTTACGTTTGGTTACGTGTCCGAGGAGATCGTTTTGAAGGAAGTCAGCTTTTCCTTAATGCAGGGCCAAACAGTCGCCTTGGTAAGCGACCGCTGGTCCTTGGAGTCGGATTTCGAAATAATCATGTTAGGTAGGTCCGTCGGGGAGCGGGAAAAGCACCATCTTGAGACTGCTTTTCCGTTTCTACGACGCGGATGCGGGATCAATCAAACTCGACGGTCAGAATATTGAACACGTGTCCCAAAATTCGCTGCGCAAGGCAATTGGAGTGGTGCCACAGGACACGGTGCTGTTTAACAATACCGTTAAGTTTAATATCAAATACGGCAGGATGGACGCATCGGACGCAGACGTAATCGAGGCTTCCAAAGGGGCGGATATTCACGACAGAATTATGACGTTTCCAGAGGCGTACGGCACAATAGTAGGCGAGAGGGGCTTGCGCTTGAGCGGAGGCGAGAAGCAGAGGGTGGCGATCGCGAGGACATTGCTCAAGGCTCCCGAGATAGTACTGCTAGACGAGGCGACGAGTTCCTTGGACACCCACGCTGAAAGAAACATCCAAGCGTCGCTGAGGAAGTTATGCGAGCACAGGACCACCCTTATAGTAGCTCACAGACTCTCCACTGTGATACACGCGGACGAAATTTTGGTGCTGAAGGACGGGGAGGTCGTGGAAAGAGGAAGGTACGATTTTGAGGTGGCGGGAAGGTTTCTGGTAGGATGACGGCGTCGTTTTAGGCACTCCGAACTTGTAGAGAAGGAGGGGTTATACTGCGACATGTGGAAGCGGCAACTGGATAGTGGTCTGGAGTAACCAGTATGGCTCGACGCTATGTTTTTTTTTTGTACAGAATAAATTAGAAAAATTAAATGTTTCAATAACTGGAGTTAAGGTTTACTTTAGCTTATCTACAGATGACAATAGAGTTCACGTTATTGGTGATTTTACAATTGATACCTTTGGCGTTGTTTTCATGCGAGTTATGTTTGCCTTGTATGGACGATGTTTAATTGTTCTAATAACTAGTTCGTTTGGCATCGTTGGCGATTCCGTGCCTTTCTAAATTCCTTCGAGTGTTCAATATTACTATGTTGATGGAAATCATTCAGTCATTAACAATTATCCTAGTAACAGCTTTCGAGGTAAATTTTTTATGCTTTAAACCTATCTAGAACACTTCAGGGGAACTTCATGGTAAGATATTATTCTCGCACCACAAAAACTGTCAACAGAACCTTGTCGAGTTGTTGCCAGCAGCGTTACAATCAGAAAATACATTCGCGAAATGAAAAGGCCATATTTATTGGCTCGCCCTATAGACGCAACAAAATACTCAAGGTCGTCGATCAATTATCATTTCCCGGAATAATCGGCCGAATGAAACTATGGTATTCAGTTTTGGGAAGAGTATTTTGCAGTAAAAAATCATTATAATCTTAACAGCCGGTGACGATGGGCAAAAAATATGGGGACGAACACACATAAAGAAAAAGAGGAACTTTTAGTGTAAGTGTTTTTCAATTAGCGGTTCACCATAAAAGTTAATAACTATTTTTTAAAAATTTCTCCTTAAAATGCACTTTACCGTTAACTTAGTCATAATTTAGCGAATTATAGTAAACAGTTGACACCAATATTGAAAATTATTTTCGAGTTTTTTGCAATGGGACCAGGGCACGTAATCGCTGTCTTAATTTTAATTGATTTCAAAAATTAATTTAAAACCAGATCACTGCCAAGTTTAATTACTTAATGATCTATCTCTGCAAAGAAAGTTGTGAGGATTTAAACATTTTCGGAGATAAATGTCGACAACTCCAAAAAGGCTTAATGTACTTTAATAAACTTAGAGTAGTTAAAAACGGTTGCTTTGCTAAGCTATTAATCGTGAGTGACGCGATTGCAACTGCTTACCTCGCCACCAGATGGGGTTTCCTGACATAATCACAAACAAGATTATTTTATCCAGAAGAAAAATTAATATGGCGACATCACTTTGTTTACGTCATTAGTCCAATAATTTCTTAATTTACCTAATAGTTTTTTTTTTCAAATTTTCCCTAATACCTTACCTCGTTTTTCCCTTACTGCAAAATCTGTTATATGCATTTTTATGTTACAGCCTTGTTATAAGGAAAGGAATTTGCAAGAGCGTAGACACTATGTGTCGTGCAGGGGGCCTTCCATTCAAAGCTAGAACGTTTTCAAACTCGATTCGACTATATCGAAAATATTTTGGCAAAGCAACGTACTATGTTAGCTTTTTACTTTGTTCGTTATTGAAAAAAAATAGGTATTCGTACAATTAGCACGATTGCAATCCTCGTGCATGCTTATACATATGCATTTAAATTTGCAAGCCTCGCGATATTTTTTCTACGACGGGATTAAATTTAATCGGCTCTACAACAAGCCAATGAAATTTTATACTAATAAATCGGAATAATTAAACTGTCTATATAGTATTTCATTTTTTGACTGTTAATTGCATGGACTGATTATGTTTGTGTTTTGTCTATATTTGACTTTCGACACCACTGAGGATTTGGCCAGACATGGTAATAAATTTTTCGAATGAAGATTCATCTAAACTTATGTTTATATTTAACCTACGATTGTTAAAGCAATACATGTTTTAATTTTGTTTGTTTAACTGCATCAAACAAAAATTGTAAATTATTTGTGCTTCTCGTTTCACTAATCTGATAAGAGTCAGATAAGTAAAAATATCTCTAAAATGAAGGTTCAAATGACAATTTTAAGCAAGAAGAAAATTAGATAAACCATAAACCTAACCACCAAAAGCCTAGTCAAAAGACTGATAATACAGGAACTTATAAACCGCCTATGAAAAAAATTTGAGACGATCCATTCAATTCGCGCATGCGGGAGATTTTAAATCTCGTTTTTAACCAATGGCTTTGCGGTATTCAATAAGCAACATGGCCGCTGAGAGATCATCAATAAGTGTGGATGTGGAACTTTTACTGTCGTGTTTTCTCCCCTTAATGTTCAGTCAAAGGTCAATCACTTAAGAAAATGGCATAAAGCGCAGGTTAGAGGGTGAAAGGTAGAGGCGGAAAACCTTCTTCTCTACGAAAATATCAATGCCGCCTGAGGCGCATCAATTTTTACTGTAGTGGGGTACTATATGATCTAATAGCTACATGCTTCAAGACATTCGCCATTGTTTTTCACCTCCTGTTTATTTTGTCTGTAATCTTTTGTAGAAGTTCACTTTTTAATACTCATATTTAGTCATATCTCCACTGATTACATCAATAGTACCTTATCTATTTAACCTATGATTTTTCGAGTATTAGTTTTAAATGAATCAAGCAAAAATTCTAGAAGTTATAAATTTATGATTTTTTTCTTTAATTATTTTGGATGATTGATCGTAACGCAGAGTCAAGTAAATAAAAATATCTAGTAAAAAAAGCTTCAAATCAAAGTTTCCCAAGAGACGAAAAATTAGGACAAACCATTAACCTAACCACAAAAAACTTAGGCACAAATTTCGTTTAGTCGAAATCAGTTATATAAAAAATATATTCTTGTCTTTTGGAAGTCTTTGCAAACATGTATAAATAAAAAATTTGGTATAATTGAAATCTGTTACGTTAAAAATAACCAGCCACTAATTGCGAACAAACGTATGACGTTTTACTGTAACTGATTTGAACTATTCTAAAATCCCCAAAACGTAAAATCCCCAAAACGAAAATAAAACGCGTTTGCCCTTCTATGTTCAAATAGTCTTCTTCTCTAAAAGACTAAAGTACATCCCTATTTATGTAAAAAACTTCCAGTCCATGGAGTTCCTCAGAAAAAATGCGCGGTTCAAGCGGCAAGACACTTCCCTCTTTTTTTGTTTTTACTTGTTTGAGTCTTTTACTAAAAGTTATACAGAAATTGCGTTTATAACCACTCAAAGCGTTTAATTTCAGTCAAAAACAATATGGCTAACTAATTGAGCTACTATTTAGTATTACAGGAAAACGATATTCGCACTTAACCCGCGAACAGACCATAACAAATCACTCCAGATAAAATTCCGTAAAAAAATTACACCAAACGTGTCGCTTTTGTGCCGATTTACGCCTGCTCGCATGCGATATCGATTAACAATAACCGCCATCAGTAAGTAGTGCGCCAGTGCCAGTGCCGAGTCATTGGCGGCGGGTCTATTATTATCCCAGAACGTGGCAATGGCCACGAGGTCGATGTTACGGACGCACAACAGACACTTGGATACGCTTCTGAGGTACATCAAATATTCCGAATCTTAAATAAACTAGGAAGCCAAATAATGCGAGTGAGACAATGGTAATCCTTGCCCAAACGTCCCGTTCAATCTGTAGGTTTATGAATTATGATTCCCTTTCTCTATTATTTCGAATCGCTACTTCAACTAACCTTAAATGCGCAGCAAACCGAACCAAAATGCGTCTCAGCAGCAAACGAAGAAAAGCGACAAAGTGTCGTTCGACAACATCGACGTAAAAGTGAAATTCAAGGTAGCCCCCGGTTTCCTAACCTCAAACCCATTCAAACGCCAACGTTTCAGGAGTGCAACGACAACAAATCGACATGGACCGGGGCGTGGAAGAAGTTCAAGACTTTGGCCCCGTTCCTCTGGCCGAAGAAGGACGTCTGCTTACAAATCAGGGTGCTGTTCTGCTTTTGCTTATTGGGACTGGGTCGCGTGGTCAACCTCAACGTCCCCATCTACAACAAGTACGTAGTGGACTCTTTGACGCCGGAAGCAGGCAAAGAGCTAGAGTTTCGTTGGGATTGGATTTTGATTTATGCCGGTCTGAAGTTCTTGCAAGGCAGCGGCGCGGCCGGGGGGTTACTTAACAACCTGAGATCGTTCCTGTGGGTGCGGGTGCAACAGTACACAACCAGGGAGGTTGAGGTTCAGTTATTCAAGCACCTTCACAGTCTTTCGCTGAGATGGCACTTGAACAGGAAAACGGGCGAGGTGCTGCGGGTCATGGACAGAGGCACCGACAGCATCAATAATTTACTAAACATGTTGCTCTTCCAAATAGTACCCACCATAGCTGATTTACTAATCGCGATAGTTTACTTCTGCACCATGTTCAATTACTGGTTCGGTATCATAGTCGCCGTTACGATCATTTCGTATATGGGGATGACCATGGCCATAACGGAGTGGAGATCAAAGTACCGTCGTCGTATGAATCAGGCGGATAATGAGACCAGGGCGAGGAGCGTCGACTCGCTTCTTAATTTCGAGACCGTGAAGTACTACAACGCGGAGCAGTACGAGGTGGACTCTTTCAAGGAAGCAGTGCTCAAGTACCAGAAAGAAGAGTGGAAACATAACTTTACGTTAAATCTGATGAACTCCGTGCAGAACTTGCTGCTCTGCGTTGGGTTTCTGGCTGGTAGCTTGCTGTCGGCTTACATGGTCGCCGTGAGGCACGAGTTAAAAGTGGGAGACTATGTCCTGTTCGCTTCTTACATCGCACAACTTTATATGCCACTTAATATGTTCGGCATGCAGTATAGGTGAGTCGTGTTTCTACTACCTATACATATTGAGTGGCTTGTATATGACAGACACGAGATGATATCTCAAAAATCAAATCATTTCCAATATTACGAGGGATATTATCAAAGTTCTAGGAATTGTGCGATAATCAAATTACGCAGCACTCACAGCCAATGTTACTAGACAAGTCTTGACAGGTTGATTATTGGGGATTCAGGTGTTGACTGATAGAGACTCGTATTCACACGACGGTTTTTTGAATCATGGAACAAATATTAATCAATAATAATCTTTTTCTGGAAAGAATATTATACGAAGTTATTATCAGCGCTACTGCGACAGGCACTTAATTGTAACCACACCGCAGGAAAAACGAAGCATGTTTTGAACAATTTGCGAAGGGAATTGCTTCGGCACCCACCTTATTACCCCGATCTTTGTGATTATCAGCTGTTCGCAGATTTGGAAACACCCTTGAGCCGCATTAGATCTGAAAGTTTTATTAGCGTGAAACGCGCTTGAGGAGACAAGAGAAAAAGTTGTTTAAGGACGGTTCGACACAATTAGTTTTTCGTTGGGATAAATATATTCAGTCGAATGGAAATTAGCTCTAAACTTGATAACACGTCAACAGCCCAAAACGTGTAATTTATAATATGATAAAAATAATGAAAGTTCGACACTTTCATAATATTTCAAAATCGTAATTATATTGAAACACAATGAACATTACAGCTAAATTCTCAGAACTTTGTACACATCCCTCGTAGCTGTATACCATGTTGGCTCAGAAATGTATATAGGAGTATATCAAATAATTTCGACAAATTTCAAAGAGACCAGACTCCGAAAACGGTATTTAATACCAAAATATCTTGGCCATAGAAGTGATTTTGACTTGGAACCGCGAAATAATTTTCCATCATTTGCTGTCCGTCAGGCAGATTCAAAACAATTTCGTCGACATGGAGAACATGTTCGACCTACTGCGTCAGGAGCGAGAGGTGGTAGACGCGCCGGGGGCGGGTCCGGTAGCCATCAAAGATGGCGGCGTCGAATTCAAAAACGTCAGTTTCCACTACCTTCCCGAGAAAACGATACTGAAGAACGTTAGTTTCCGGGTACCACCCGGAAAGACGGTAGCACTGGTGAGTATTCGGTAAAAGATTCAACTTGGAGTATTAGCAGGGCGATTATTTTTAGACTGTCTTTAAAATAGGTCGGTCCTTCCGGAAGCGGCAAGAGCACAATAATAAAACTGATCTTTCGCTTTTACGACGTCGAATCCGGTTCCATTACGGTAGACGGACAAGACATTAAATCGGTAACTCAGGATTCGTTGCGAAACGCTATCGGGGTCGTACCGCAGGACACCGTACTTTTTAACAACACCATTCGGTACAACATTAAATATGGCCGACTGACTGCGACCGACGCGGACGTGATAGAGGCGGCCAAAGGGGCGGATATACACAACCGAATCCTAAACTTCCCTCAGCAATACGAGACGCAGGTCGGCGAGAGGGGTTTGAGGCTGAGCGGAGGGGAAAAACAAAGAGTGGCCATCGCCCGCACGCTCCTCAAAGCGCCGGCCATTATACTTCTGGATGAGGCCACGAGCGCTTTGGATACCCACACCGAGAGGAATATACAGGTTGGGAACGATTTACATTTTGCGGAATATCTCTAGCGTCTGGTGTCGTACTAGGAAGCCCTGGACAAAATGTGCAGCAATAGAACGACGGTGATAGTAGCGCATAGACTGTCGACGATCATTCATGCCGATGAGATATTGGTGGTACGAGAGGGAGAGATCGTGGAAAGAGGACGGTGAGTGCTACGTCATGTTCCCCACCCAAACAGCACCAGTACACATCTCAAACGTACGATATGTCAAAAGTTGATACACCTATATAGCACACATAATCCCTACATTTTCCAATACAATGTACGTATTTGCTAAGTCTAAGTATGCAACGCAGACGTAGGTACTGTCGTCGACCCTAGATACATATTATTTTCTAAACATAAACAAAAATCAATTACCAGTTATATACAATTTTTATTTTAAACTTTACCGTTGATTCTGCTTGAAAGCAATGACTGCCCGCCTAAGTCATCTATCAGTTTCTAACTTCACCCCTTGTCTTTCTCGGCGCTATTCTAATTTATCTTCTACCTCTACACAATAAAAGTAATCGTCAATGAAAATTCAGTTAAAAAAATAAATAAGGACTAAAAGTTCAACATTTGATAAAGACACGGTGTTGTCGAAACCATTGTCATGGCAAAATATGTAATTTCGTGAAAATCTGATCTTTTGGTTCTTATTTATTTTGATACCCAATACCCAATTTGTACGTACGATGCTGGTTTTGTGGAAAACCGTAAAATAGTCGAACGATTTTAAGATGAAAATTTTCTCATTTGGAGGGAGACACATCCCTCCTGAGAACAACTGCCTGTTTAGTACCCAAATATTTTTTAGGTGCTTTGCTAAAATAATACGTTAGAGATGATATCTGCTGGGATTAATGTTACCAATCTCAAAATAATAACTTTCCTTATTGCCTTTATGATATCAAAACCTAAATTAATACGAAAAATAAAACTAAAATTTAAAGGGTGTAAAAAAGGTTAAATTAAAATTTACATAAACTGTTATTTTAAATTGATGACGAATACAATATAGAACATAATCAAAAATTCCATTTATTTTCAAAGGTAATCGGTAATCCCATCCGTCCAATAATAATTAACATTAATTTGCTGCAGGCACAACGATTTAATCGCCCAAGACGGGATCTACGCCATCATGTGGAGGCAACAATTGGAGAGCAACAAAGAGAAAAACGACTCCACGTACCAGGAACCGGAATACCAGAAAACAAAACCCGAATAAATAAAGAAACTTATTACATTTCGAATTTATTTACTCGCCACCAGACTTTACAACTCAAATGGCGTTACATAACCTCAGAATAATTGTTTTCCGAAGCCGCCACCGGTACGGGATGGCGCTCTTCATAGACACGCGCATCAACTGAAATTGTACAGGTTCACTTGGGCCTCACGTCATTAGTTACTTACCCAACTCCAAAATTACCATCGCAGCAATCAATAAGGAACAAATGACTCCCAGCGCTGTCACCCAGGGGTGATTTTGGAACCAGTATTTCCTCTTGACGTGTTCCGCTTGAAGTTTAAACAGTTCGCCCTTTTCTTTTACGTGTTTCGCCCTTTGGTCGAGGTCAATCAGTTCGGGGTTGCGCGTCAGCAGCACTTTGTCGATGTTGTGTCGCATTATGTCCACTATGTCGTCCAGTCGTTTCTGGGTTTGGTCTAAATGAGCTGTGGTCGACGTATTCGAGTCCATTGGGAGTGTTTTTGGCGACAGTGGAATCAAACGATTTGGGAAATGAGAAGTTGAATAGTACCTCGAGGTGGAAAATCAATAGATAATAGAGATAAAAAAGATAATCGCGTGCACGGAATAGCCGCGTATTTTTATTTTCGTCCCGTTATTCTCTAAAAATGATCGATATCTGGTTGGTAACTCTTATTTGAGTATTATTTCTCCATTTTCGCTAAAGGAGACTTTTTGGTTTTGGAGGAGAAAATCTTGGACAAACTCCTGCATAACTTGTACAATAGATGTTCCTTAGAATCACACATATTTGATTCATTAGTTTTTGGCGAACCCCCTTTAGCCTACAGTGAAAACCAAATTCTTTCTTTCACTTTGTATTTTAAATATAAATTGGTTTAAGTTAAATCATTAGGATATAAGAAGGAGGCTTTTTATCAAGTGCACTTTCCAAAAAATTAATATACAGACATCAATAATAATAGATATATTTATTCATAAGAAATACTTACTTTTCAAATCACATTTAACCACCAAAAATTACAATCATTATAGGTAAACAATTACTATTAATTACATGTATAAATCATTAGTATTATTGACTTGTTCACTTACTGCTTAGGTTTTGTAAATACATCTGAAAATACCATTTACATATATCAATGTGTATGTAACCAAAGGCACTTGCAAGGCAACTGTATCAAAATAGGGGGAAAGAAAAACATATCAACAATAAAAACCAAAAAATAAGTAGTACCGGATCGGTTTTCACAACAAAATATTGGCTAGTTTGATCCATCCTTCACTGCCGTGCTGGAGTCGGAGCTACTATTACCGTGAGTTACGGACACTGAAAATAAATTCAATCAATTAATTAAAAAAAAACTTATTACTGTTTTGTAAGAACTTCAAAATCACATTTCCGCCAAAGTTTAATAGAATGGAAATAAAATATCTTTATTTCTGCAATCAGATTTACATGTTACCAATTAATATACTTTTAAAATTAGTTTAGCATAAGCTATTTACTTATGCAAAAAGCTATTGCCTGTTTCAATAAACATACATAAAAGTGCAATTACATTTGTTTACCGAAGTTCCTTCATGAAGGCCAAATATTAAGCAGCAACGAGTTTTGCCAACTAGCAACACGAAATTAAACAAAAAGGAATTAACTGATAAGACAATAATAGGCACATACCGATGATGATGATCAGCAAAGTGATTCCAATGACCCCAATTATGATCATCATCTTAATATTCTTCCACCAGTATTTTCTTTTCAGTTTTTGAGCTTGCTGTTCGAACCTCTTACCACCCTCCTGGAGGGCATCCGCTCTACTATCAAGCTCTGAGAGTTTTTGGTCTCTCTCTAGTACCTTCTCCACATTCACCCTCATTATGCCCACCACCTCGTTCACCTGTTGCTGGGTTTGCTCCAGTTTGGAAGGTGGCCGGGCGTTCCCGGACGATCCAGATGGATTCTCCATGACTACAATATGAGATGTATCAACGTCGTCCAAGTTTTTATCGAGATAAGGGAATTTTTCATTCATGATCATGATCCATTCAATTTAAGGGATTGATTAAATATGGTACTTACCGTTGCAAAAATAGGGCTAAAGTTCCTAATTATCGAGCAAAATATACCACGAAATAAAACAAAACAAATAAAGGACTGACGTTTCTCGCCACTTATCAATCAGACATTTTCTTTGAGTGACGTCATATGCCAACAATTTTTTACCCCACTTAAACAAGAACTTCAATGCGCCATCTCTTATTCTAGAAGATTGGTAGAAAAATAGGCAATAAGTAATAAAAAATGGTTGTTGACATCGGATGACAACAGATGGCGACACCAAGCTACAAAATAAAGAGATGGAACTTATATGGTGTCTTTAAATGAAAGTTTTTCTTGAATATCCAGAAAAGATCGCATTTTTGTATGTTGCATATTCAATCATTAGATTTCAAATTTGATACTAGCTCCACGCCTTGTCGGATAGCTTAACAACAACTACGCAACGGTACATGGCACGTGTTTCTATCGCAGTTTGACTCTTCAAATGGAATAGGGCGCCCCTAACGGCACCGAGAGAGCGAGGGAGAGAGAGAGAAAGGAAACGGACATGCGAGTGTGGAAAAAGTGTCAGACCGTAGCGTAAAGCGAGCAAATAATAGTGAAATTGAAATAGTTGAAAGGCCAATGTTTTAGTGGGTGCGTGTTTACGTCGGACTGTCAAAAGCGCGTACCGTGTGTGTGATTTGTCTGTGTTTTTGCCGAGTTTTGCGTGCCGAAATGTGACGCGTGTGGGTGTTTTGTTTACGTCTGACGGCAACAGTCCCCCAACAGAGTATAGATTTTTCGGTGGCTCGAGAGAAAACGGTAAGACATGAGCGGGATAATCTGCCCATCCTCGCAATATCGATTTTGAGGTTATCCAGAATCTGCTCTCAACCCTCGTTTAAAAAATCTCGAACCTAGGGGCGGTCGAACAATCGTATCTAATTGCGGGGTAATTGAATTGCAATTGAATGTCACCGCGGGGTCAAAAAACTCTCCGTACGTAAATGTGTGTCAAATTTTTTGATTTGCGCCCTGTATTCAAGGAAATTACGGTAATTACAATCGGATTTACGTTGCTATCGTGCCGGACGATGAATGAAAATCAAGCCTAGCGAAAACGTAACAGATATTGCAGAAATATTTAAATATTTTTGTCATTAAACGACAAAACGCTTGTCCCAGTTCCAATAATTCCGGTTTACGTGAGCACTGGCTGCAAAAATGCCGCGTGGAATTCCAGAAATCTGAATACTTACGAAAAAAAAAAAACGTAGATAAATTTTCCTCTGTGCAAAATCTATGAGATTAGATAGGTAATACTTGCGTTGGTATTTGGCAAAATTGATGATAATTATGTTATCCTAATACTTATCTATTAACTTTTCATTATGAGGTTTGGGATTTTACTAATGGTTATTTAATATGTTCCGGAATTTCAGTAAACTTTCGTTATACTATGTTTCTTAATGCGAGAGGGTAATCTAATGTAAATTTTGCAATGACAGGCATGCAATTTACAAATCTTCTGGATTTCTCCTGCATCGGTTGTTGACAAATCGAACTCGCTGACGTTTCGCCCATCATCAAGTTGGTTTCTTCAGAGCTAAGCTCAAACGATTTATCAACAATCGATGCAGGAGGAATTCAGAAGATTTGTAAATTGTATTAGAACGGCCTGCAGAAGTTTCTTTAACGGGTCATTAAACAGGTTGGACAACTTACAACAAAGGTTATATCGTAAAGATGGAGAGATAATTGATAATATTTATATTTATATAATTCTACTATGTGCAATACATTTGTAAGTTCTAGTCATCATGATCCATGAAGTTAGATGAGCTATAGGCGCTGAAGTTCAAAGAAATAATAAGGGGCTCCGCAGTGTTTTCTAGTTCAAAGACTTGTTCAACGCACTTACTCCATTTTTCTTTAGATCTTTATGTTCTCTGGAAGGAGGGCCTCAATGTCCCTCATTTGAAAATATTTTCTCCAAGGCAGATATTTCGTTTTTTAAGTAAAACGAGTGCATTATTCTTCTGATGGCAGTCTTTTCGTCCTCCTTTATTAATTTCCTTTCTTACGAAAATTCTTCTTAAATGTTTTTTAAGTGGCGAAAAAGCTGATTTAGACAAGAAAAGGTTACAACAGAAACTGAGGTTTTGAGCTGATGTCTGCAATTTTGATACCGTTTTAGGTACAATATTTTGACTGGTATCTAATCTAATCTAAACAAATTTTAAAAACATATTTCTAAGTGAGATTTTAAAAGTTTTACCATTTTTTTTGCTTAGACCAGTTGAGAGTATATTGTATGTATGTATAGGTGATGGTTTCAATTAAAAATCTACAACGCGTTCGTTCATTTCGAAACCCTGAATGAGGTAATCGTAGTCATGTTTTCATTGATCCTCGGTTTATTTTCGTAGAAAAAAAAGGTTCACCTCCGACCGGGAAACGGTCCAAGCTGACAAAAATAAGTGCTAGGCGTAAATTTCACGCGCCAATCGAAATTCTGTGGACGCGAAAACAATTTTTTTTCTTCGTTGTTCCAGATTGACTAGACATGTTCAAAAACTTTATAAAAGGCGTGACGTCCGACAAGGACGACAAGGACAAACGAAAACGCGACAAAAAGGACAGAAAAGAGAAACAGAAGAGGGACAGGAGCAGCATGTCGGCGGAAGAACTGCTCAGATTAGACGAAGTAAGAGGTCGAGCTTTTTTATTGTAGAGATAATGCTATTTCTTATACAAAGATAAATTTTTTTTACTCAATGAAAATAGGTTGCTCCGCAATTTTGAGCGTTTAGGTTATTACAAATATAAATATCGACATTTTACTTTCACATTAATTATTCACCATCCAATACTTAGAGCTTGGGGCAAGGAAATAGTTCAAATTGAATGAATAATTTATTATAGAATATATAGGTTGTGTGGGATTGCAATGCAATCAAATGGATGTCCACATGATTTTATTGTCATATGTTCTCAATAAGTGCACGATTGCCATTGTGGTATTATGTCGTTGCTGTGTTGATGTTATATATTCACAACACAACAAGAAAACTTAAAAATATATGTATCTGTATGTAGAACATGCAGATATTCCTGATCCAATTAATTAAACCCTTATTTTCTTGAAAACATTTGCCCTAATATGTAATAATTCCAAATATTATATAATAATTAAAAGAACGATTAACTTACCTGCTTCAACGTTATTCATCACAAAATATATTGTAATTCGCTATCAATAAGTTTTGATCGATAATTCGAAATAAAATATTTAAACACAAAAATTATGCGTGGTGTATATTTCGCAGAAGAATGATTATCAGCCAAGGGTTTAAAACCATTTGCGTCTGGGTTGACTTACGGGTATAAAATGCCAAATTTTTGAAGAGATTAATTTATTTATTTATTTGTTTATTTGTCAAGCTATATAGTATTGTTAACAATGTATAATTACTGAATAACAATAACTGTGACACCTCGATTGTAGAAAAAAAACAACAACGCATCAATATGATTCGATTGTTTTGGGTTGTTTCAAAGTCCACTTGGAAATTAGAAGATATTTATTTCGTATTGTTGAATAATTCAACCATTTTAAAGGCGATGGGAAAACCACCTCCCAAAACGTTTCGCCAATCATCCTGTTGGCTTCTTCAGAGCTTGACTGAAAACTGTACAGTAGCCTGTGGAAGTTTCTTTGAAAAATTAACAAGCTTTTATGGAAAGATTCCGAAGTTGTTTATATCTTCGTTGTTTATTTTTGTTATAATAGATGGAGAATCGACCCATGAATCTTCGAGATAGGTTTTTCACTGCCATTCGTTAAAATTTCTAAAAAGAAATCTATTTTGTTAATCATTAATACAAGTTGAAATGCGAATTATATAATAAATCATTCGAATACAATGTTTATTCTAAATAAATTATTTCAAAAAAATAGCCGCTGTCTGAGCGAATACACCTACTGAAATTTAATATTATACTCTTTTCACTTATATTTTTACGAGTTTACCAAACATTTATTGAAATAGGTGCTTATATTTCTATGGTACGAAAAGTATTTAAAAATTATTGGACTTTTTGGTACAAAACTTTTTGGCAATTTGACAATACAATACAATATATTTTCCGATATTTTTCCATATTTCCCCATTAGTTGCTAGGTGATTTCGCTCTCGTTTAAGAGGTTTTGGACCCATAGTGCTACGCAAACGAATAAATCTCACGTCTAAAAGAGAGCTTCTGATATAAAATAGCAAAGAAGCTTGGAGCCAAAGTAAGATTTACGCTGCCTATATCTATTAAACATGACGAACCACTTTGATCGAAGGAGAGGATCGGCGTTATGCTATTCCTTTTTCTTACCTCATATGTTAATCTTAGGCGAGAGGGGACACGTTATCGATCTGAAGCGTCAATATGGTGAAAATACGTTTGTTTACTTTGTACTGAATAATTACTTAGCTAACTTTTCCTTCTTGTTACTGTGTCAGTTTTCGTTGTGTAGGTTTAAAGCTGTCGTGTTTCCGTTCTAAGGATTCGTTTTCTGTATGTTCGTTTTGTAACCATAAAACTAGTTAATCCGGATTAGCAAAAATCAAGCGTAAACTTACCGCAACGCAACGAGCCTTTTAATATGACAATAATATCCATTATGCACTGTTATCTTTCGCGTTACGTAACCAGAACGGTTTTTCGCATTGCAATTACGTTGTTTTTTTTTTTGTAAAATAGCGACGCGAATTTTGCATTGTAAATGTGTACGGAAAGTGAACTGAGGAATTTCGAACGGTTTCTCCCCGCGCCGAAGGTGGACAGCTACTCTCCGACATTTTGATAACGGTCCGCAATCTCTTTGTCTCCTGATTGACGGATACTTGTTGTGTTGAAAAAAGGAAAAAAAAACGCCCCGGCAAGATTTCAAGATTTCTATGCCAGTAAAAATTTATCTAAAAACCAAAAACCCGAGGAGGAAACCACCCCTCGAAATTTGCAGAAATATTTCCATAGTTTCCCATATTTCCAAGATATTCCAATGGCGGATTCACATACCTGGTTGTCCTAGAGCAGTCAAAAATCGGGGCCCTATAACAGCTTTTGTATCTTTTTATTGATAAAAAACGAAAAAACGAGCATAATAAAAATATTACAAGATACTTTATTTAAATGTAATGTATACCTATTTAATAAAGTCAGTTGATTTGATTTGTAATCTAAAAACTCAATAATGGAATCTCACAGCTGTATGAATTGTTTTAAATAAATATTTTAATATTAATTGCTCAAAGAGTTTCTCAGGTAAGTTTTGGCGAAATTTTAAATAGAAAATGTTTTTTTTCCTGAAGCGTTACTTACTGGAACTGTGAGAAATATGTGTGTATGTGTGTGGCTGTGTAAATATTAGAAAACGCTGAAATTAAAGTAGGTAAATAAATCAGCTGCTGAATTAATATTGATGTTTTTCAGTTGCATTCAAAAATAATTTAAAAATAAGGCTCTGCTAGTTCACCGTTAAGATAATTTTTTATACCGTTTTATTAGAGAGTGTGTATTTTTTGTTGTAAATCATCGTTATGAAGTTCCGAGCTGAAATTTTTATCCATAACATTTTTGCATTTTGTCATTAATTGTATCTATAATAACAAAATAGGTATTTACCTTGAAATTATTTAACTCATCAAATTTTGTTTCAGAAGTAAGGGTTTTTTTTTCGATATATAGAACTTTAAGTTCCAATAAAACAACGATGGATTATTCGACTGACATGAATTTTATTTATCCGAAAGATGATCTTGTGGCATTATATTTTAAACATGATTTCTGGCATTTGACCGCCACGGCTGGCGTGGATGTAGTCCAATCTGGACGTCCAATTTTCGATGACTTTTTCCAACATTTGTGGCCGTATATCGGCAAGAACACGGCGAATGTTGCCTTCCAAATGGTCAAGCGTTTGTGGCTTAGCCGCATAGACCAATGACTTTACATAGCCCCACAGAACTAGTAGTCTAGCGGTGTTAAATCGCAAGATCTTGGAGGCCAATTCACAGGTCCAAAACGTGAAATTAGGCAGTCACCAAACGTGTCTTTCAATAAATCGATTGTGGCACGAGCTGTGTGACATGTTGCGCCGTCTTGTTGAAACCACATCTCCTGGACATCATGGTTATTCAATTCAGGAATGAAAGAGTTAGTAATCATAGCTCTATACAGATCACCATTGACTGTAACGTTCTGGCCATTATCGTTTTTGAAGAAGCACGGACTAATGATTCCATGATTGGTGTTTCGACATACACTTGAGGATTAGCTTCGCTCAAAATGCGGCAGTTTTGTTTGTTGACGTAGCCATTCAACCAGAAGTGCGCTTCATCGCTAAACAAAATTCGCTTATGAAAATCGGGAACAACGGCAATCTCGTTTTGGGCCTATTCGACGAATCTACGCCTTACTTGATGATCGTTTGGCTTCAATTCTTGTACGAGTTGGATTTTGTAAGCACGTAAATCAAGATTCTTCCTCAAAATCTTCCATAAAGTGGATGGACACAGATCCAATTCCTGTGCTCGATGGCGGATGAACTCATTCGGGTCTTCCTCAATGCTACGCTCTACAGCAGCAATAGCTTCTTCTGTACGCACCGTATGGTGTCTCTGGGAATGCGGGTTATCAATAAGAGTAAACGTGGTGCGAAAACGTTCCATGGTTAATCGAATTAACTGCTTTGATGGACGATTTTGTCGACGATAAAATGGACGTAGTGCGCGATACGTATTCCTCACAGAACCATTATTTTCGAAATATAATCGCACTATTTGCAAGCGTTGTTCAGGCGTGAGTCTATTCATGATGAATTGCCAAACCAAACTGAGAATAAATCACTTGACAGCTGTTAAATCGGTCGCCATCTTGAAGAGTAATGCCAACTTAAAGTTCTATACATCGAAAAAAAAACACCCATTACCATCATCATACTTAATTTTTTTAAATTAAGATTTCAATTTTGTTGAAATTCACTAAGCTCTGATGCGTTTTTACTCTTATGATAATAATCAAATTTATCTCTTAACTGGGTTATGTAATCAATTACACTTTTATTACTTGGCGTAAATCAATGTTAAGCTTTTGAATTATTTGATTTTACCAAATAAGGACAGAAAAACATAATATCCTTTAAAACTTTTTTGAAAGAGTGATGTCCCAATGATAACGCTTTACATCAGTCGACCCTAGCAGACCAGCGAGGAATGTCTAATACACTTTTTGGTACTCTATAATTCTTTTTGCAATTCAGTAAATTAGTAAATTCCACTTAAATGGAGAGGCCTCGAAAAAATTATAATTTTTTTGAACAAATAAAAAGAATGCATTGACTTCTAAACAGCAATCAGCAGCGGCACCTCTTATTAAGTTTAAGGGATGAGTTCCGCAAGGTATGAAATAGGTCACGTTCTTTTTTTGCCTTATTTTTTATTGTAAACTGTTGTAAATTAAGAGGGAATAAATCTAATAAATCTCTCAAGAATATTTCCTTGACAAACTGATAACTATGGTTATATCTGATTATTGAAAAATATTTGTTGCTATGGATTTTTCTGCCAATTGTCTCTTGTATCTGAAAAAATTATTTAATATTTTACAACTAATTGTTGAAAAATAAAATTGTTTAACTTGGATGCAAACATA